ATGTGAAAGCTATTCAGAAAGAACAAGCTCAATCTCATGTTAGGGTTAAGCAAGCAAAGCCAATTTTTATTGGGAAGTTAAGGAAAATTGTTATGTACATTGAGGAACAGTTGAAGTTAGCAAGTGCTAATGTAGATAAGTTTGTATTTCTTAGGGATAAGGCATTCTTCTTACTTCAGTTCTTTGCAGGTGACAGGGCAAATGACTTGGGTCAGGTCCTTATTCAGGAAATAAAAGCTTTATCGGGAAATGCAGGACTTTTATTTTGCCACACAGTAGGGAAAACTTTGAGTAATGGGAGAGATAATATTTTCGCAGTTCAAAGAGTTGAGGATTTGATGATTTGTCCAGTTCATGCAGTTGAAGCTTATGTCTGTGCAGCAGAGCTTATGGGGTTAAACATGAGTTCAGGGTATTTATTCAGACCATTGGGAAAGAATAGGTTGTCAGTTTTGGATGGTTGTTTGTCATATTCAGTAGTATATGAAAGATTAAAGTTCTATTTACAAAAATTGAATATTGATGAGGGAGAAACCCCCCACAGCTTGAGAAGAGGTTGTGCAGTGACCCTTTCACTTTCTGGTTCAGCGGAGGTTGAGAAAAGCATTATGGGTCACATAGGATGGTTTTCTAGCCGAAGTCTAGATAGATATAGTGAAATGAAGAATTTGGTTGATGTTGGTTCTGTTTCCAATTTATTTGCACAAGTACCAAGCATTCAAGGAATAGAAAATGTTTATAAAAGTTGTGGTGATTATGATACACTCCCTAAAGCATTTAGTTGAACATATATGTTAAGGACTATGTGGGTTATATCTCCCCTGCTATTGAACATTATGAATTGCAGTATTTTGTTCCAATATGCAAATTCAAAGAGATTGTAAATGTGGAAATGTTCAGTGCAGCAAACATACAATGAATTGTTTTGATATGGTTTGAAATAAAGATAGTGCATTTAATTCAATATGTAGTTTTCATTTTTTAAAGTATTTACAGGGTTGTGTAAGGATTGGGAAATTAAGTGGTTTATTTGAGTATTGGGAAAGGGACCACTTAATTGGTGAGCTTGTTGTCCTAGATCTGTTAAACTATATGGGTTTGTTCCATAATACACTGATTCTTCCCAATCCTTACAAACCCATGGTCAACTGAGTGAGATGTCATTTGGAATAAATTTATATTCCAAGTGAGATCTCGCGAGAGTTGACCAATATTCATTCAGTTCGAACCGGAAAGGAGGGTGTGGTTGATGGTGATTTGATTGGCATATTACAAGTCTGACTGTTATTGTGTGTTTGGACTTTGCAACAAAGGCGATTTGAAAAAAAAAAAAAAATAAAAAAAAAAAAAAAAAATAAAGGAAGTGAATCTTATTCATTTGTTCCATGGGCATACACTGATTCTTTCCAATCCTTACAAACCCATGGTCAACTGAGTGAGATGTCATTTGGAATAAATTTATATGAAGATACGAAGCATTAATACGCTTGCAGGTGAAAAAAGAATTACTCACCAGTCAAAGAGGAATGTTGATTTCTTCAGAATATTTTTCGCTTGTCCATAAACTAGTCGTTTGATAAAAAATTATCAATACGTACAACTTTGTCGAAAGAGTCCCCCGACATAATTAAGTGCTGGAGACTGTTAATTGAAATTTGTATGAAAGAATACATGCAGTCATATATCAATTAAAAAATAAATAAAATATTTCATGCAGTCTGTTTTTTTCCATAAAACTTTTTTTTTTCAAAACACTAATTTAAAGAATAAGATTTTTAATTCAATTACAAAAAAGCAACTAACTTTATTTTGATTGGATAATTTGCCAGGCACTACAATGGGTAGCATTGTTTTGCAGAAGAGTGCGCATGCAGTATATTTTACGTAAACGCTAACTGGTCATTTGATTTCAAAAAGAAAAAAATCAATACGTAACTCTGTCAACATGTCTTTTGTCATAATTACTGGATTGTTAAATCAGAATCATATGAAAGAGAACAATTTTATATTAAGTAAATTGGATTCAATTGAAATCCATCCAGATTTTAATTAATTTAACTTGAATTAAATAGAATCCATTCAACTTTTATTTCAAAACACAAAATTAAGAAAAACTAAAGTTTGCAGTGTAAATGCATCGCAATAAAGTGTCGTCAAATTTTCATAAAGAAAAGATATATTTATTCTCTCACAAATAAAATAAAACCCTTATCAGTCAAAGAGGATTGATCATTTCTTCAGGATGTAATGTGCATATCCAAACTAGTGCTTCGATAAAATATTATCAATGCGTAACTTTGTCGAAAAAGTCCTCCGACACAATTCTTTTGATGTAATTACTGGGTTGTTAATTGAGATTTATATGAAAGAGAACAGTCATACAATAGTAGAATGTGAATAAAATAGTTCATTCAGTCTGTTTCTTTCTTTTTTTTTCCAAAACACTATTTAAAGAAAAAAAAAGTGTTTAATCATATTTTTAGTTCAATTACAACAAACTGACTAAGTTTATTTTGATTGGATGATCTGCTAGGCACTACAATGTGTTGCACTGTGTTGCAGTAGAGTGCAGTAATGGTGCAGTAGGTTATACTTGTATTTCAACAAGGACAATTAGTTAATGCCCTTTAGAAACATTCCCCACCATCCACCCTCCAAAGTCACCCTTTATATACAATTTCCTCTTGCGGCTGAAAGTTTGTTGCAAAATTTGCATACTGTCAGTTTCTTACAAAGTTCGATAATCAAATTATGCCCCTTTGAACAACGTAGACAAAACGATTATGCAAATGTTTAGGCAATATTAACGGATAACAAGCTTGTATACTATATAAGACAAGAGAGTCACTCACACATGTTAAGTATGGTCTTGCATGTACACGTAATGTGAGTTTCTCTCACAAAACAAGTACTGCTAGATGGCTAAACATGTAGTACTGAAAGCTCTCTTGATTGTTCTACAATGGGCGCTTTGTTTGATCGAGTCTCAAGATGTTCATTCCTCAGTCAGACAGGAAAATTCCTATATATTTCAATGTTTAACATAAAAAAGATAGACCAAATATGTTTTAAGTAGACAGTAGACGTCAAGCAATTACAATGGGATGCATTGCAGCACTGATTTTTTTTTTTATTCAAGATCATCCAGTCTGTCCCTAACTTTTTAAAAAAGAAAAATTAAAATTAAAGAGATTTTGTTTCAACTTTATCTTCAATAAAAAAAATTTCATGTAAAACAAAATTAAACTTTTGAATTTTTGATTGACATTACATTGTAGTGCAGTGCAATATAAGTATAGGTAAATTATGAAGATACGAAGTATTAATATGCTTGCAGGTGAAAAAAGAATTACTCACCAGTCAAAGAGGAATGTTGATTTCTTCAGAATATTTTTCGCTTGTCCATAAACTAGTCGTTCGATAAAAAATTATCAATACGTACAACTTTGTCGAAAGAGTCCCCCGACATAATTAAGTGCTGGAGACTGTTAATTGAAATTTGTATGAAAGAATACATGCAGTCATATATCAATTAAAAAATAAATAAAATATTTCATGCAGTCTGTTTTTTCCATAAAACTTTTTTTTTTTCAAAACACTAATTTAAAGAATCAGATTTTTAATTCAATTACAAAAAAGCAACTAACTTTATTTTGATTGGATAATTTGCCAGGCACTACAATGGGTAGCATTGTTTTGCAGAAGAGTGCGCATGCAGTATATTTTACGTAAACGCTAACTAGTCATTTGATTTCAAAAAGAAAGAAAATCAATACGTAACTCTGTCAACATGTCTTTTGTCATAATTACTGGATTGTTAAATCAGAATCATATGAAAGAGAACAATTTTATATTAAGTAAATTGGATTCAATTGAAATCCATCCAGATTTTAATTAATTTAACTTGAATTAAATAGAATCCATTCAACTTTTAACACAAAATTAAGAAAAACTAAAGTTTGCAGTGTAAATGCATTGCAATAAAGTGTCGTCAAATTCTCATAAAGAAAAGATATTGTAACGCTTCGGAACGCCTGCCTTGTGCTGAGAACAAAAACTTCGGTGTAAAGTTTTATAATTTTATTCAGTAATACATGAACAGCGAAAATAAATAACAATGTTTGAAATTCACACAAGTCTCAACCCTCGGGACATAGATCTAAGACCAAAATCAGTACAACTACTGATATAGAACTGGGCAACTGGCACTATTTCCAGTAAATTTATGATTTAAGTAGAAATTCCCCCGACCAAAATAAAACGTAAAGGCTCTCTATAAATAACTTATAATTAATTTACAAATAAATATTCCCGCTACTAGTTCAAATACTAGCACGCAGCAGAAATATTTCCTAACTCCTAAACTGGGCTAAAGAAGATAAAAATAACTAGTTCACAACTAGTAATTATAAATAAAACTAGTACAATTACTAGTAATAATTAATTTAGCCTAACCTAACATTATGTATTATGTACTTCAGTCACAAAGATACTGAACTAGTACACACCTTAAATTACTCTGGACAAAACTGGCAACCTTTCCCTAGGTCACAAAGAAAACAAGAGAGCAAACGATACTCAGCATCTGAGTATTTATAGAATTAACAAAACCCGCAATAATTCATAACCAATCATAACTAATAATTCCATCCCGTAAATAATAATCAGCCAATCAAATATAAGTATCGTCCCGTAATGAAATCTCACTCTCGTACATCGTATGTAAAATTATTACAATACGTAAATGAATTAAATAAATTCATAAAACATAAAGTTACACTTTTAAAAGCTCATTTAACACTGTTTAACATTTAATTTAAAAGAATTTACAATCAAATCTTCCGCCGAAATAACTCCAGTAAAAATAGATCACCGTGAAGCATCACGGGAAAATACACAAGTAAACAAAGTATGGCGGCGGCAGAAGTTTCAGTGAAACATGTGTACTCGAAGACCATAAAACATCGATCACACAAGAAATAAGGTAACTTTAAGATAATCCTGAATTACAGCGCAACTTTATAATTACGTATGTACAATTAAGCCAACAAAAAGCGTGTAATTAAATAGCAAGACGATGTCTGACATTCAACACATCGAAACACAAGAAAAATGGCATAGATCATCGCTGCATTTAAGCAGTTGTCAACCGACATTTAAGACATAACTCTCGCTGGACATTTCAACATTCCATACAAGAATTGATGAATGAATTTAAAGCATGCATGAAAGTGCTTTAGAAAAATACTAAGATAAAAAAAAATGAGATTCAAGAAAAATAGGGGGGATGGATCGTTACATTTTGCCCCTCTCTAAGAGTCCAAGTCCCTTTGGACTCAAAATTCAAACAATAAAATTCAAATACAATAATTAATTAAGGCAATCAATGACATATTATTTCAGTATTTCTACTTTATACACTACACTCGATACACATATACTTAACTTCCATGAACAGTACAGCTAGCAACACATGCACAAGGGAGATTACTCAAAAACAAATGCTGTACTTCACAAAGATTACATAAAAAAAATATGTATCTTCACATCTCTAGTAATGAATAAATCATAGAATTTTACAAACTATAACACTACTACTCCAACCTGTCTGCATATCACTTATCAATATAATAGAAACTTTATACATAACACAAAATGCTAAATCAAAACATGGCGTTCAACATAATTTCATGACGACAAATGAGCAGAGCACAGTGTGACAAGGTAAGTAAGTTAAAATGTACATGAATTATAATGATTCAATTAATATTTACCGATAATAACTGCCATTTAAGAATGAGTTTATCTTACTAAAATAGATGTACAAAATATTAGCAGCCTCTGAAAAATTCATTATAGATACTCACACATATAAATACAGTGTTCTGATAATGCTAATGCTAACAGTTTAGACATATAAGTATAACTCTAAGCATAACTTGTAAATAACAAGTAATGTACAATCTTCCTAATTTTCATTCACAGGATAACAGAAAAAGACTTTAAGAGGATGGACACTAAGGTCTTAGCAAGCAAAAATATCAAAGGTAAATAATATTACAGAGATGAACCTCATCACAATGCTTAATGCATGAAATATTAATTTTAGAAAAATTATATATAAAATCCACAAACCTTCCCAGTTCTAACTTTATCTCCCAATTAATTACAAATATTAAAAAAATGGTATATATCCGAACTTACATTACTTTTACATGTACTTACTGCTCTAATAATATAACATAAATCTAATTTCTCTTGTAAGGCTTACTAAATCTCCGGTCTGGCGTGAAAAGATCATCCAAGGGCGAATGGTGCCCGGTAGCCCTGTGTGCCGGCTTGGGTAGGATCTTCCGAGGAACTGTAACCACCGACTGTAACCTCTTAGGCTGCTTCCTCGGGGACCTTCTGCGGGGAACAGGATTGTAGAGTTCACCCTCGCCGGGGCCATCATGTACAAACTTGACATCTGAAACAGGACCAGGTCTGGAATCCATCCTCTTCTCAAGATCCGATATGGTGGTCTGATTTTGCACAATAACTCGTCTCTGCTGCTCTATCTCCCTCTGGAGGCGGGCGTTCTCCTCTCTCAGGGACGACTGGGGCTCCACCAGCTCCTGGATGAAAAACTCTTTAATGAGCTGCTGATCTGGTAAGACTCCATCTTTAGTGACTTTATGTCCAAGGAAAATAACTTCATCTTGAAAAAGGCTACATTTCTCAGGTTTCAATTTTAAACCTGCATCTGTTATTCTCTGAACCACCTGGCTAAGTCTGCACATGTGTTCATCAAAATTTCTGCTAAATATCACTATGTCGTCCAAATAAATAAGACAAATGTCCCACTGGAGGCCATTTAATGCCATCTCCATAAGTCTCTCGAATGTACCTGGTGCATTGGTCAATCCAAAAGGCATGGTTTTATACTCGAAATGACCATATTTTGTAACAAATGCTGTTTTTGGTATATCTTCAGCCTTAACTCTGACTTGGTGATATCCTGCTGTCAAATCCAGAGTGGAAAACATTGAAGCTCCTGCAACGGAATCTAGACAGTCTTGAATTCGTGGAAGTGGGAATGCATCCTTAACTGTTAAATTATTTACAGCTCGATAATCTACACAGACCCTTATTTTTCCATTCTTCTTTTTAGCTAAGACCAGTGGAGAGGACCAAGGTGATGTAGAAGGTTGTATTATGCCCCTCTCTCTAAGGTTCAGAATGGCATCTCTCTCCTCATTGGCTAGCGCTATTGGAACTCTACGAGGTGGCTGTTTTACAGGTTTGCTCTCACCAGTATTAATTTCATGTTCTACTAAATTGGTTTGTCCTAGGTCCCATTCATCTTTCGAAAATGCATCCTGATGGTCGTGCAAGAATTTCCGAAAGGCTTCTTTTTCTGACATATTTAAGGACTGGGAAGAGCCATCATACAGTTCACGTAAATGATCTGGAACCTCACATGCCTCTCCAGGCGAAAGTTCAGTAGATCGGCGAAGGCTTCTTAGGTCACTATAAACCGGTTGAATTACATCTACTATGCCCCCATATCCTTCAACAGTACCCACTACTGTGTCTGGATAAAGCGTTTTTTCCCTCATCAAAAGGGTTCATAACTCTCAGGGGTACACACAGTTTCCCTCTGATGTTAAGAACTGCTGGGGCAAACAGTAAGGAGGTCTTCTCCATAAGATCTCCACTTGGCACGAACATAAGGTCCTCCTCAACATCAACCTCACATTCACGCTGAATAAAAGCCGGTATTATTACTTCTGTATTCCCAGGTATATCACATCTCTCCACACAACGGAGGGTAATATCTTTATGCACACCACGTTGTATGCATGGAATATCATGACCTTTGAACCTTATCAGTCCTTTACTCAGGAGAATATCTGCTTGACCAATTTCACTATTCTGCAGGATGTCCACTCCAAGTAACACTTCATCTTGGATATCAGCTACTAAAAGGTTTTTCTTGAGGGCCAAGGAACCAAGTTGCAATTCAAATGCTCCTTTCCCATGAACATGAATGGTACTTCCGTCAGCTCCTCGTAAGTGCGACTTTCCTTGAAGTCTGGGTCTGTTCACCTCTTTGAGTTGTTCATACACTTTGTATGAAAGTATAGTATTGGATGCACCAGTATCTGTTGTAATGTGGACATCTAAACCATTTACTTTTCCTTCTATGTACACACCATCTGCATCTGGTATTCGATTAGAAATAAAACAAAAATCTTCTGACTCATCAAAATTATCTGGTTGTCGGTCTGTTGGTGGGTCTAAACTGTTCGTCTGTCTGTCAGTTTCTTCTGTAGCCGGTCCTTGACCCACAGGAACGGCTAATGCCTGTTTAAAGGTGCCTTTGATACTTGAAGGTCATTAATTCTCTTTGGGCAGTCCCTTATGAAATGACCTTCAGCTTTGCAGTAAAAACAGCTATGTTTCTGTGGTCTGTCCAGAGGAGCCATTTGACCCGAAGGCATGTCTGGTTGAGATGTACCAATAATAGGCCTACTTGGCTGTGTCCCAGTGTTGCTCTGCTTAGTCAGGTTGCTGAGAACTTTTGCCATCTCATCGACTTGTTTCTGCAAGGCTTCGATAGTGCCAACTGATGCTTGTTTGTTTCCTTGGCCGTACTTTACATTTCTGATGCACTTCTTTTTCATCGACTTGTCTTTAGTGACTGTCTTAGATGAGGCCTCAGATTCAGAATCACTGTACAGCGACTTCACCTCTCTGACATGTTTCTTAGTTGAAGGCCGACCTGCTTCTTCATAATTTATAACCTGTCGTACAGCTTCATGTATATCTGAGGGGTCCTTGACGTATTCTACATGAAATTGGGCTTCTCTGTCAGCCAGACCATCTAAAAATTTCCTGAGCAAGTCTTCCTCTCTAGTCTTTGAGTCTCGCTCTGGGTGGGCTTTGACATACAGGCGCTTCAAATCAGCAGCAAAGTCCTCGACTCGCTCACCAGGCTTCTGAACTCTGTTATTAAATTTTGACAGATATGTACGACTGGTTTCGATTGCACGAAAACGATTGGTCAGTTCCTTTGTAAGTCTCTTATAACTACTTCTGGACTCTTTCGATAATTGGCCGTAAACAAAGTCAGCAGCATCTTCATGTAATCTGGGCAGTAATTGGTCCAGTTTGTCGTCTGTTGTCCAGTGGTATCTATCTGCAACTTCCTCAAATCGACAAAACCAGACAGACCAATCTTCTTTCCCTGTGTATGGAGGAATCTTTACATTGTGATGCTTAGCCCTTTTCCGGTACACAAAGTCAGACGGTGATGTTTCTCTGTCGCTACTCAAACACTCGTGAGACGTGCTACATGTATCTGATTGTCTGTTGTCAGGGTTGGTCCTTTGGTGGTTATCTTGTTCAGAGAGCTGTTTAATTTTCTCTTGTAAATGCTCTACCATCTCCATAAGCTGGACAAGTGCAGTTTGCTCGCTTTCTGTCCTTGATATATCTCGTGCACTTCTCATGGGAGCGGAAGTCTGATTCAGCATCACAGGTACAGAACCTGTACACAAACTCACAGGCACAGAACCTGTACTTAGACCAACAGGTACAGAACCTGTACATGTACATGAGCTTACAGGTACATTACCTGTACTAGAACTTACAGGCACAGAACCTGTACACAAACTTAGAGGTAAATGAGTCCTCGCGCAAACGTTGTGACCTGGTGTTGTAATTGTGGGGAATGGAGTAAACATATGGGCGCTCTGGTTTTGTTGACAATAAACAGGACCTTGAAAACTCACAGTACAAGGAACTGCATAAGAGTTTACAGGTAAGGTAGTGTGGTAATTTGAACCTGTACATGAACTCAAAGTGCTGTGTTTATGAGAGTTCACAGGTAACCCATATACTGGACTTGCTGTCTGCGTAATGGAGGGGCTCATGTGAGTACCTGTACTGGGGACTGCAGGTACATACATACTAGGGACAGCTGTCGGCTCTCTAGGAAAACCTGTACACAAATTCTCAGCAAAATGTGAGCAAACAGGTACAAAAGGCATCTGAGTTGTGGGACCACAGGTGTGAAGATGGCTCATTTTAGGCGTAACTACACTGTTTGTTGTCTGTGGCTGCTCTGTAGTGGTACTCACAGTTACAGAAACTGTATCTGAGTTCCCAATAAAAGGTGTAGGTTCTCCATCTCTCACAACGTCTGCCTGAGAACTCACAAGCATTAAACTTGTATCTGAGTTACGTAAAAATTGAGAGGCTTCTTTATTTGAATGAACAAGTGGTTTAGTTCTGTGCATGTCAGCTCCTTCACACGGAAATTCACATTCGCTTTCATTTTCTCTTACAGTATCTACAGAGGAACACGAAACTCGTGAGGTAGGTCTGGATTCTTGAAGACCACGACGTTTCCGTCGACTTCTACGTCCTGCCATTGTGATTTATTTTTATTTGATTTGCTTAATAAAATTTTTGTTTCTCAAACACAGACAAAGCGTTGTTATGATTCGATCACAGGACCCGTAAATTTAAACGGATCCCGCCGTGGATGCCAAAATTGTAACGCTTCGGAACGCCTGCCTTGTGTTGAGAACAAAAACTTCGGTGTAAAGTTTTATAATTTTATTCAGTAATACATGAACAGCGAAAATAAATAACAATGTTTGAAATTCACACAAGTCTCAACCCTCGGGACATAGATCTAAGACCAAAATCAGTACAACTACTGATATAGAACTGGGCAACTGGCACTATTTCCAGTAAATTTATGATTTAAGTAGAAATTCCCCCGACCAAAATAAAACGTAAAGGCTCTCTATAAATAACTTATAATTAATTTACAAATAAATATTCCCGCTACTAGTTCAAATACTAGCACGCAGCAGAAATATTTCCTAACTCCTAAACTGGGCTAAAGAAGATAAAAATAACTAGTTCACAACTAGTAATTATAAATAAAACTAGTACAATTACTAGTAATAATTAATTTAGCCTAACCTAACATTATGTATTATGTACTTCAGTCACAAAGATACTGAACTAGTACACACCTTAAATTACTCTGGACAAAACTGGCAACCTTTCCCTAGGTCACAAAGAAAACAAGAGAGCAAACGATACTCAGCATCTGAGTATTTATAGAATTAACAAAACCCGCAATAATTCATAACCAATCATAACTAATAATTCCATCCCGTAAATAATAATCAGCCAATCAAATATAAGTATCGTCCCGTAATGAAATCTCACTCTCGTACATCGTATGTAAAATTATTACAATACGTAAATGAATTAAATAAATTCATAAAACATAAAGTTACACTTTTAAAAGCTCATTTAACACTGTTTAACATTTAATTTAAAAGAATTTACAATCAAATCTTCCGCCGAAATAACTCCAGTAAAAATAGATCACCGTGAAGCATCACGGGAAAATACACAAGTAAACAAAGTATGGCGGCGGCAGAAGTTTCAGTGAAACATGTGTACTCGAAGACCATAAAACATCGATCACACAAGAAATAAGGTAACTTTAAGA